GAACCAGTGTATGGAAGACCTCTCTCTCTGTCTCTACCTCTCTCTGTAACTCTTTCAAATAAATAAAAAAATAAATCTTAAAAAAATAAAGTTAGTTGAGGATGAGCTGGAACAACATGGAGGTGTAAAATATAAGAGCCAGGAAGAAAATAATGTGTCCAGCCCAAGAAAGCAGTTACATTCCAGGTTAGCCGTACAGAGGCTCGCAATGAGTTCAGCTTGGTGCAGACCCTGCAGGGTAGGTCTGCTGAAAGAAAACCTGCTAGAATAGCTGGTTAAATGCAGAGGCTGCAGAAAACTGAGACTATGAGAAAACTGGGGTATAAGAAAAAGGCAACCGGAAACTTTAGGAAAACAAAAAGCTGTGTAGGCAAGAAAAGGTAACTGTGGTATCTTTCCCGACTGCAGTAAATAGTAAATAGCTACAATGTAAACCTTGCTCACTAACTTCCAATTTTTAGAATGAATATATAGATACATATACACAAAGTATGTGGGAGCCATGAGGAGTCAATGTAAGTGTTACTCATCTTGATATTAAAAAAGAAACTGGTCCACTCCAAGCCTTTGGTGCACATGTTGGGAGTCAACCAGTGGGTGGAGCCCTCTTTCTCTGTCTCTGTTTCTCAAATAAATACTTAAAAAAAAAACAAAAACAAAAACACAGGTTGGAGTTCTTGGGAGGTGGATGGCAGACAGGTGAAGTTGAAGGGAGGGGTGGAAGGGGAGGGGCACTAAAATATTGTCTAACTTTGTGGGATGCCAAGAGATTCTGTCTTAAGTTGACGAACAAACAAACACGTGAGTCCACTGGGGTGGGTGTTGAGCCTGGTAAGATGCCTGTGTCCCACATCAGAGTATCTGGTCCACACCTGGCTGTGCTCCTGAGTCCAACTTCCTATTACTGCAGCCTCCAGGAGTCAGCAGTAATGACTTAAGTACTTACGTCCCCACGACCCACGTGGGAAACCTAGATTGTGTTTCCAGCTCTTGCCTTTGGACCTGGCCCAGTCCTGGCTGTGTGGGCATTTGGGGAGTGAACCAGCAGATGAGAGAGCTCTCTGTCTGCCTGCCTGATTCTCAAAATTTTAAAAAAGTTTATTTATGGGAGGGGGGAGGGGATATCTTCAAACTGCTGGTTTACTCCTCAAATGTTTGCAACAGCTGACAGGCCAAAGCCAGGACCCAGGACTTCCCCACATGGGTGGCAGGGACCCAGGTAATTGGGCTATGATCTGCTGTCTCCCAGGATGCACATTTTGCAGGAAGCTGGGTGGGAAGTGGAGGTGGGACTCAAACCCAGGCACTCGAATATGGGATCGCAGCATCCCAAGCAGCGTGCTAACCTGCTGTGCCACAATGCCTATCCCCACATAAATAAAAAATTTTTTTTGACAGGCAGAGTGGACAGTGAGAGAGAGAGACAGAGAGAAAGGTCTTCCTTTGCCATTGGTTCACCCTCCAATGGCCGCCGCGGCCGGCCCACCGCGCTGATCCGATGGCAGGAGCCAGGTGTTTCTCCTGGTCTCCCATGGGGTGTAGGGCCCAAGCACCTGGGCCATCCTCCACTGCACTCCCGGGCCACAGCAGATAGCTGGCCTGGAAGAGGGGCAACCGGGACAGAATCCGGCGCCCCGACCGGGACTAGAACCCGGTGTGCCGGCGCTGCAAGGCGGAGGATTAGCCTAGTGAGCCGCAGCGCCAGCTGTAAATAAATTTTTAAAAAATGAAATCTAAGTATATATTAATTCTACAAAGGAATCAGCAAATCTAAAACCAATTGAGAGCATGGGGCACTACAGTGCCTGTAGAGCAGGAAATTGGTAATATCTGGAGCTAAGAAACCAAGACGTAGCCTGCAAGCTTGTAGAGAGAAGAAGGCAACCAGGCAGCAAAACAGCTCAGGTCGCACAACCGTGGTTGCTTGGAGGATGGAGACAGAGGTGTGGTGGGGCCGGTTCTTTTCCTCCCTGGACAAGCTCTTCAGTAGGGTTGAACCACCTGCGTGTATTTCTGTGATAAAGTTACAAGAAAATTTTGAGCTCCTGGCCAGGCAGGGAGCAGGGGGCGGAGGATGCATTGCTGAACGCAGTCCCTGCCCCCACATCACGCTCAGGCCTATGGCTGAGGCCCTGGGAGCCTCTCAAATCTCTGTTCCTTGCTGGAATTGCCCCTGTGCTCTGGACCCGAACTCCAGTCACTGCGTGCACGCTTTTCCCTAAGAAGACTTCAGGTTCACCTGCTCATCCCTTGTGGAAAGTGAGCCGTCTCTTCTCTACGGATGCCCTTGGTTCCCAGCCCACTGCGAGGGGTCAGGGCTGCCCCCGCCTGCCCCTGCAGCCTCCATCTGGGCCTCAGATAGACCCTAGCGGGGTTTGTGTGCTGCTCCCTCTGAACCTCGCATCCCCAGGTGGGTGCTCAGCAAACATCCTTGCCAAGAAATGAGTTCCCCGTTTCCTGCCCCAAGCTCACACTGTGCAGGCAGACTCTGGCGCCCCCTGTCTTTATTTGCAGCCTCTCATGCAGTGACACAGGCCCCCCCCCCCCCCCCCCATTCACCCTTGACTCTGGCAGCCAGATGAGAAGCCGAGCTCGGCTGAGTCTCCCTGTGATGCTGACCTTGGACGCATCCCTGTCCCGTTCCCATTGCCTCTTTCCTCATCTCTCAGAACCAGAGCCAGCAGAGATCTGCGCTGGGGGCCGAGGGTTCAGGGATGGACACAGGTGCTAAGTGCCTCACGCCTGGAAGATGCGGGGGCCCCAGCCCCTGTGATGTTATGGCCACGACAAGGGGCATACACACGTTCACACGGCTGTTGAGGGCAGCACATGGCCTGAACACAGGTGTGGCTGGCTCCACACCAGGTGCTAACCCCTGTGCTCTTACATGTGAGACGGAACCCTCTAAGGGAAAGGCAAGGCCAGCCTCTCGTCTCCCTCAGCCCAAGGTGTCCTTGCCTGTCCTTTACCAGAAGGGATTCACTGAATTAAGGGGGTGGCACAGCTGGCCCTACAAGGTTCGAATCACTGGGTTAAAGAAGTCCTTTGCTTCTCTGATAAGATAAAATCCTGCTGGCCAGTGTGGTCCAGAGGGGTTTGGGTAGGGGAATTCCAGGTGTGGGCTGGGAGATTTCAGGTCTGGGGTGGAAGGCGACTCCCACTTACATGTAACCCCCACACCAACCGAAGCCCACCTGGCCATCAAAATTTCCCTAAAGAACATGGCATCACTCTTTAGTGAGCACCACTGGCCAACCAGGAACTTGAACACGAGCTGACCATGCACCTCTCAGCCCCAACTCCAATCTAGAACCTGCATCCCTGCCTCTTGGGGACCCAGGGAAGTAAGCAGCAGCTGCCGGGCTCCGTGCTCTGCACTGTGCAATAAACACCTTTCTTCCATCACCCCGTGTCAGCGATCGGCTTTCTGCCCGTCCGGCGAGCAGACCCGCAGGTAGGGGTTCTATAGCAACACCTTCAACTAGTTCATTTCTTTAGGTCTCCAGTGGGACCACAGCAACTACATTGCCCTCTCACCAGGGCCCCTCACAGACCCCAGAGCGAGCCTGCTGCCTCACCTCTGCCCTGGGTCATGCCCAGTGATCCAGCCTCTGCCTGCTTTCCTCCCTTGGCATCCAGCTGCCTCGCCCCACGCTCCAACTGCCCGGTTTGCGCAGCTGTTCTTAAGCTCAAAGCCCCTCCGGCAAAATTCAATTCGTGCTGGAAAGCCCAACCCAGCTGTCCCAAGACAGGCTCTCTGGGACAAGCCAGGGTCCGCCCACCCTTCCGACACCGCGGCCGCTCTGAAAGGTGCCCGCTAGGTGCCGCACGGGTGATCTACGTTGCCTGCGTCAGCTCGTTAGCCCTCGGGTTGGGGAACGTGGGGAGGGGCTCTCTGGTTACTGATTCTCCGCACGTTTGTGCGCTGGCCCACGTCCTCCTGGGAGGGAAGAAAGGTCCGTTCCAGGGGGAGTGGAGCTCCGCAGAGCAGTACAAGCCCCCAGGAGCTGGACACACTTGTGTTGGAGACAGCTCCTCTCCGCTCCAGCTCCGCGGGTCCAACAGGGGCAGCGGGCGTGCCGTTGGGATTATCTTGTTTGAGAGTTCACGAGTGGTAGCCTAGGCACAAGCCCTCTGCTCTCTCCCTAGACCGGGGATCCCTTCCGCAAGGCGCTGCTCCTGGGCCGAGGCTGCACCCCGCGGGGCCTGGCTGGGCAGCACTTCCCTCCCTGGGGCTCGGGTTTGTGAGCGGGGGCGGAGCCTTGCTCCCTCACTTTCCCTTTCCCTCCCGCCCCCGCCGATCCCCGGCGCCAAGCCCGCTCCCACCTGTCGCCCCCATGCTGACCGAGGCTCTGTCGGGGAGGCGGGGAGCGGTCAGGTGGCTGCTGCCCCTCCGCCTCCAGTGCGCTGTTTGCCTTAGTGGAGGGCGCTGGAGATGCTGAGGTGCCGGCGCCTGTGATACCCCCCCCCCCCCGCCTCTGTGACGTCCCCACAACGACGCCTCCGCCTGCACTGCGCCCCCCGTAGGCTGCAGGGTGGAGGGCGCTGGAGACTCAAAGGGGGCCGGCCCCTGTGACATCCCGCTGCGGAGCAGGGGCTAGTCCTCAGGTCTCCGGGGAGCACCGTGGGTTTGGCCGAGGGAGCCCCCTAGTGAAGGTGGCCCGGCCCGTGGCCACAGTCCCTCTGCGAAGACCTCGGATGGTGGGCGCAGCGCGGCTAAGCCCGGCTCTGCAGGGCGCTTTGTACCCACTCTGGGAGCCGGGGGCCGGGCCCTGTAGCTGCACGCACATACCGGTGCACAGCTTTACGGGGTGCGGAGCCAGGTTACACAAGGCGCCCCACGTGCCCTGGCACCCAGGGTCACCTCTGCTCCGTGCAGGCTCTCAGGAGGCAGCACCAGTTCAACTCCCTGGATGTTAGGCCACAGGGCAGGAGGGGGGTGGAGGACATGTGCTACTACTTACCTGTTTATCCTGCCTGGTCAGGGCCCAGGACTCTAGCTCCTTTTTAAATATATTTTCAACTTCTTTGAAAGACAGAAGAGGGTGTTAGGGGGACAGAGAGGGATATTCCATTTGTTGGTGTGCTCCCCAAATGCCCACAACAGCCAGGCTGGGCCAGGCTGAAGCCAGGAGCCGGGAACTCCCACGTGGGGGGGGGGGGGGGGGGGCAGGAACTCAAGTACTTGAGCTGCTGCCTCCCAGGGTTCACATCAGCAGGAAGCTGGATGGGAAGCAGGCGCTCTGAGAAGGGACACACGTCCCAAGTGGCACCACTCGCCCAGCACCCTGTCCCCTTGCTTACTGTCGGTGGTCCTGAGTGCTCCAAAGCAGGGACAGCACGGGGCACAGGCCTTGGCGCCCGCCTTCCCCTCCTCTCAGCCAGGCAGTGGCTGGCCAGGAACCTCCCTGCTGCCACTGGGTGGGCATCTTGCCCAGCTGGGCTGAATGATGGCCCCCAGGTGGGACTGGGAGCGCCCACCAGGAGTGGCAGGAAAAGCAGCCTCACTCAGACCGAAAGTAGCCCTGGCCCCAAACAAGGGGAAACCTGAAAAGTCCCCATGCAGCAGGCGGCAGGTAGGGTTGGGAGGGGAGTGAGGCAGGGCAGAAGAAACAACCATGGCTAGGAACACATCACCCCAAACTTTATTGCTTGCAAATTCTCTCCACCCCGAACTCCACAGTACCAAGGCTGCAGTTCCTCATGTGCTGGGGGCGGGGCCCCTCCCTGGGAGCTGGCTGGCCCTGGGGGAACAGCTGGACAGAGGCCACCATGGCGAGCGCGGACATGTTTCTCCTGAGGAGTCTCAGTGCCTGCCCCCAACAATTCACAGTTGATTTAATGCTACATGAGTCCTGAGCAGCTCCCCCAGAAGCGTGGCTGGGGCGGTGGGGAAGGGGTGCTCGTGGGAAAATCTGGAAGAGGTTTGAGGAGTCACGTGCCCGAGTGGAGCCGAGGCCCTCTGCCCCACCCCCTTGCCTGCCTGCACCATGCAGGCCCACTGGCTCGCCTCCTGGAGGGCTGCGGGGAAAGTGCTTTGAGCTCATCAGAGTGCAACGTGGAGCTGGCAGTGCCCTGTGACGGGGCAGCGGAGTGTTTCCAGGGGGCCGGCGGGCTGGACGCCGACACTGGCCCGGGGAGCAGCAGCGCTTGTGTCTGCTGCTCCCCATAGCGCCCAGCGTGCCCCACCTGTGGGCTGCTCCTGCCGGGTGGGCCTCTCGTCCTCCTCTTTGCAGGTGAGGGAACAGATGTGTGCCAGCCAGCTGGAGGCAGGGGCAGGAGCGCAGCCCAGCAGCAAAGGCGAATGTGCTTGCGGGCTGAGGACCACTTCACTCTGTCACCTTCTCTGGTCCTTGCCTGGACCGGAGTTCCACCAGGCCCTGTGCTGCAGTGACCTAGCAAGTGTGCTGTGTTCTGGCGTCAGGCACTTTCCTCCTTGACTCACGAAAGGGAGGGGCAGAGAGCCAGGTAGGTGTGAGAGGCCCCACAGCTGGTTCTGGATGCCCTGGCGTGGGCCTGTGGCGCTGCCACCCTCCCGGGGCTTGCTCGTCCCTCCTCCCTAAGGCAGGTGTGCTCTCCCCTGACTACCTGAGCGGCCACCGATCCAAACAGGTCTGACCCACGCTTCTGGAGCAGGGCAGAGAAGACCTCTCTGTCCCTGAGGGCGGAGTCCTCTGTCTCCTGTGGGCACAGTGTTCTCTTGGCTGGGCTGCACAGGACTCGGCGGGGAGTCCTGGGAGGCGTTTGTGAACCTCCCTCTCCCAACGCCTCTGGCTGCTACCAGCCCCTGGTCACAGCACTGAGCCAAGGGATAGCAGATCCCTGGAGACAGCTGAGCCTGTGTCTCCGCACGACACCGAGAAGGAAGGCCACAGGGGCAGGATGGAGCCCGAGGTGGAGGCAGGGCTAGGGCCTGTTCTCCAGCTGGCCGTGCTTGACCCTCCAGCTCCAGGCGAAGCTGCCATCGGGGGCCAGGGTGCACTGCAGGTCGATGCCCGAGTCTGGCACCTCCATGTCATAGCGAACAGGCTGCCCGTCTTTGGTCACCAAGCTGAAGGCTGCGGCTGGGATCTGGGGAGTAGAACAAACCAGTGGGCTGACAGAAGTGCAGGACTGAGAAGCCACCCAGCAGCGCAAAGCTGATGCCCCCAGCCTAGGGGGCAGCTCCAAGGACACTGTTTGCTTTCCTTCTGGAAAGCTCAGGGAATCCCATCTGGCCCAAAGGTCGGTCCTGAGGACCCCAGGCACCACTGTCCCCTTACCTGGCTGCTGATGCCAGTTGCAATGTCTCCCACCTTGACCCGGTGAAACTCTCGGATGTGCAGGTGTTCGCCATTGAGAGACTGTATTTGGACTTTCACACCTGGAAGGTAGGCAAGGTGATGGTCAGGAGTGGCTGCTGGCTCCCCCAGAGCAGAGTTCTGGCAGTAGCTGGGGAACCCTTTGCTACTCTGCCCTGTGTGTGTGTGTGTGTGTGTGTGTGTGTGTGTGTGTGTAGTTAGGTACAGCTGTGATAAAGTGGCAGAGATGAACTCCAGTATTATACACCTGCTAGTTCTTTTTGGCTGTGCACAACTGAATTTGGCCTGCACATTGCTAAGAGCTGAGGCTGGCTTCTATGGGGAAGTAGTTTTCCTACTTGGATTTGAAGCAGAAAGGAAGGGAACACAATTCTTAATTCTTAAATTAGACAGTGGGCAACCCAGATTGTTCCCTGGGTCAAAGCCATGTCCGCCAGGCCATGAGGGCCTGATGCCATGAGTCACACCAGCCGTGGGGACAGACAGGGACCTGTAGTTGATGAAACCCATGTTCTAGCAAAGTCATGACCAAAGCTATGCACCAGAGCCCAACACACCGTGGCTGAGGTCTTGCTTACAATGCCCACGGGCCCTGTTCCTTCCTTCTCCCTTCAGAAGACATTCACTGCTCTGACTCTTGTCTCTAGGCTGGGAGAGACTGCTCCCCTCCCCAGCGAGGTCCTTCAGCGCCCCACCGCCCCTGGGCAGTGAAGGCCTTCGCTCTGAACCTGACTTACTGGCTGGAGACCTGGCATTCTGGACACCAAGTGCCTTCCTCTCCACCCCTCACCCCCAACTCCCGCTGTGCCAGGGGAAGGACTTCAGCCCTTCAAGGATCCCTCAGGCCAGGTAGCCTGGCTGCCAAGCTGATGAGACTCTGACTGTACCGTTAAAGTAGCTCGGGGTGTCAGTGGGCCGCCCCCGGGCCAGCACCATGTTCCAGCTGGAGCTCCGAGCCTCTGCCTGGCTGCCCCACGAGTGCACACCAGAACTCAGGGTGTCTCGTGAGCTCTGAGAGGCCTTCGATGGGTTCTGAAACGAGAGTTGGCACAGACTCAGCCCCGGTCCTCCCTGGGGTGAGGAGCTGTGCAGGTACTTGGCTGTTCGGGTGGGGGCGCGTGAGAAGGGGAGCAGATCCTAACTCCCCACAGCCCTCATAGCTAAACCCCTGCCCTAATTCCCAGGGTGCTGAAGATAGATAGTCTCATTCTAAGAAGCCATGACCCCTGTCCTGGTGAGGACCCTCCGAGGAGAAAGGGGTGGCTCAGTTACCCTCTCTTTCCCCACCACTTGCACACAGCTGGATGTAGCCATCTGGCTCCATGCCAGGGCTGGGAGGTGCATGATGGCCAACTCACCTTCTCGCTGTCATCTGACAAGGAGAGGCTGTCGACGCTGAGGCACGAGAGAATTTGTTCCTGCTCCTCCAGGGAAAATGGCTGAGACAGGCTGTTCAGAAACAGTTCTGCGGGGAGAGGCAGAGGACGGCTGTGAGAGACTGGGAGGAGGGTGCGCGTCGCCAGGTGTCTTCTTGCCCACAGCACAGGCTCGTGGGGGAGGCGGGGCCAGGGCTCGGGGAGTCACAGCCTGCGTGTGCACCTGCGTGTGTACATGCGTGTGTACCCGCGTGTGCACCTGCGTGTGTCTGTGCACCTGTACCTATTTCCAGCTGCTGCAGCTCCTGCTCGGGGAAGGTGGTCTTCCGCTCTGGTGAGCTGGGGTTTCTGCCGGGGCTTGGGTCCAGGGAGGACAGAGGCAAGGGTTCCCATGTGCCAGACTCCTCCTCGCTCAGGTTCAGGGTTGGAGACTTGTTCGGCTCTGGGGGCTCTGGTGGTAGAGGCTGGAGCTCAGGAGCCCCACCTGTGGTGTCCCCCGATGAGAGCTCCCTGGGCTGGGCATGCAGGGCCTCCTGATAGCCAGCTTGGTTTGGCGGGGGAGGCCTTGGTTCTCTATAGTCTCCCCTCCAGGGGCTCTGCAGACCGCCCACTGCAAAAGAGAGTATGCCGGGCTGAAGTGGGGCTGTGCCCACACACGGATGCTGGACCAAGCCAGAGTGGCCTCTGAGTAGGGGTGGGCTGGAGGACAGAGGAGGGGGGACCCTGTTGAAACCCTACTGTGGGAGACAAGCAGGAGGGTAGCGTGGTGTTCACCAGGGAAGGCTTCTTCCGTAACACCAGGAAGAGGACTCCCTTTCTGCCTTGTATTCCATTTTCCTTCTAGGTATCAGTAGGACATTTCAAAACTATACAGTCAACCCTGCCTAAAGCTTTTGTTAAGAACAGGAGATTTTGAAACAACTCTGGGAGACCAGACATCTTGCCTAGCAGTTAAGATGCCCACATCCCACATGGAAGTGCCTGGGTTTGATTCCCAGCTCTGGCTCCTGACCAGCTTTCTGCCAATGCAGACTCTGGGAGACAGCGGATGATGGGTCCTTGCCACACATGTGGGAGACCTGGATTGCATTCCTGGCTCCTGGCTCCAGCCCTGGCCCAGGCGCAGGGCTGTTGTGGGCATGCTGGGGAATGAACCAGCAGACAAGGAGTTCTCTCTGTCTCCAGAGGGGGGCCGCTCCAGTAAGGGCCAAACAGATGGTCTTTCTCTGTCTCTCAAGTAAAACAAAGAACTGAAACCCAGGGACCGGCACTACACAGGGTAAACACAGGGTGGCAGAGCCAGTAAAGCTGCCGCCTGCAGTGCCGGCAGCCCTTATGGGCACCAGTTGAGTCCTGGCTGCTGCACTTGTGATCCAGCTCCCTGCTAAATGTGCCTGGGAAAGCAGCAGAAGATGATTCAAGTCCTTGGGCCCCTGTATCCACGTGGGAGACCCGGAAGAAGTTCCTGGCTCCTGGCTTTGGATCAGCCCAGCTCTGGCCATCACAGCCATTTTGGAAATGAACCAGTAGATGGAAGGTCTCTTTCTCTGTCTCTGCCTCTCTCTCTAACTCTGCCCTTCAAATAAATAAATAAATCTTAAAACAAACAACTCCATACATTAAAAAAAAAAAAATCCTGAAACACAGCCCCAAAATAAAGCAGCCCTGGGGCAACACCAACTCAGAGTGCCAGGTGAGCAGGCCTCCTGGCCGCCACCCCAGCGTGGGTGCTTTCCGAGGGCACCCCTTCTTGGGCGTGGGGGCAGGTTCACCCTGGGGCCTTTCCTGTAACTAAATTGCCATCTCTCTGTGGGAGGGGCCAGGCCCAGTCTCTCCTGTTTGGTTTGTTTTCCTTCCATTCTTGCGACCACTGCCTGCCCCAGGTGACACTGACAGGCCATCTTTGATCATGTCCTTGCAAAATGTGCTTTTGTCGTCCACGGATTTTCAGTTTAGGAGCAAGGCACCGTGCTCAGGTCTCCTCCTGGGGCGTGCTCTTTCCCCTCGGCACTACGCCTTTCCGATCTGCCGGAGCCACCGTGACAGGCAGCAGCTTGAACTACGGGTGTGGCTCCAACCTCCTCTGTCTCGCCCTTTCAGTGAGGGACCCCTATAGTTCCCTCTGAAAAACAAGGCTACTCTGGTGTCCCGCTTGCGGATCTGGTGGGGATCCCTTTGGCCCACACCTGGCGCCACCCACCTTCCGATTTCTCCAGTCCGATGGCTGTCCCATGGTGCCTGGCTTTCTTGTGCATCTTCTGCTCCCTGATGAGTCTGATCCACCCCCACCCCCAGCATGCTCATCCCCTCCCCCCATCTCCTGAGCCTGGGCTGACACCTACACCCAACATGGCCTCAGCCTCCCTGACCCCCCTGAGGCTGCTGTGCCCTGTACTCGGAGAGGTCAAGGAGCTTGCTCTTGATGGCTACCTGCCCTTCCCCCCTCGGTCACAGTTCCCTGCTCCTGCTGGGGGGTTTAGTCAGTGCTGGGCTCTTACCTTGCTGCAGCGCCCGGCTGACCTGCCCCCCCAGCTCTGTGGCGGACGCTCGGCGGATGGGCTCTTTCCTCAACCCCTCTTGGATGGCCTGGACCGTGAGGGGGGCACAGGAGGGTGGGATCTCCCTCACTGGTGGAGGTTCACTGGCAATCTGGGGGCCAGAGGACAACACGTGAGGCCTGCTCCCTCAGCCCTCTGTCACCTCCCAGCACATGGTCTCTGATCTTGCTCTCTTGCTCTCCACCCACCCTGGTCCCCTGTGCTGTATTGGGGTCTATCACAAGGAATAGGGACATCTGGCCAGAGCCCGGGTGAAAACATTTCCTAAAAAAAGGGGAAAAGAATCCAGGAAGGACAGGCAGGGCCGGGGAGCAGGTGACCAGGTGCCCTGGGCCCAGGGAGGGCTGGATGAGAGCTCAGAGCTGCCTGGGAGCCAGGACACCCTTCCAGTGGGTACCGCTGAGGATCCCACATTCCAAGGAGGCTTCCCTCCGCTCACATTGCACCGAGGCACAGCCAAGACGGGGGCCCCTCCAGCCTGCAGCCTCGGCCCTGTGGCCCTGGTCCCGGGGCGGCACTGACCTTGAGGCAGAGGGGCCCTCGGAAGTACTGGGTCCAAGGGTGGCAGCCGTTGAGCATGTGCAGCATCATGCAGCAGCTGCTCCACACGTCCACCTTGGTGTCGCAGGGCCGACCCGTCACCACCTCTGGGGCCATGTGGGTCTCCGTGCCAGGGATGTAGTCCCCTGAGAAGGCCAGGGCGAGATGCCTGTGAACTTGGTGGGCATGAGCCCAGGCAATGGCCAACCTAGTTAGTCCTTGGGGACCCCTGACTTTGTCTCTGTTAAAGTTATTTTTTTTAAAGCTTCATGTATTTGAGAGGCAAAGTTACAGAGACAGAGGAGAGAGAGAAAGAGAGAGAGAGATGTTTCATCTGCTTGTTCACTCCCCAAATGGCTGCAATTGCTGGGGCTGGGCCAGGCCAAAGCCAGGAGCCAGGAGCTTCTTCCGGGTCTCCCACATGGGTGCAGGGGCCCTAGTACTTGGGCCATCCTCCACTGCTTTCCCAGGTGCATTAGCAGGGAGCTGGATCAGAAGTGGAGCAGCTGGGACTTGAAGTGGTGCCCACGTGGGATGTTGGCACCACAGCACCAGCCCCTATTAAAGTACTTTAAAAAAAAAACAAAGCTCCCAAGTCACATCTGTCAGGGATGAGTGAAGCCGGGGACTTCGCCAGGGCTGGGCCAAGGCATGCGAGTCTATCAGCTGGAACCTGGGCTTGCCCGCGGATCAGACCTTGATGTGCCTTTTAAAAATGGAGGGGGAGGGGTGCGTTGTCGTTGCGGTGCAGCAGGTTAAGCTGCTGCTGATGTCCGCATCCCATATGGGCATTGGTTCGAGTCTTGGATGCTCTACTTCCAATACAGCTCGCTGCTAATGGCCTGAGAAAGCAATGGAAGATGGCCCGAGTGCGTGGGCCCCTGACACCCACGTGGGAGACCTGGATGGAGTCCTGGCTCTGGCTGCGGCCTGGCCCAGCCTTGACCATTGCAGCCATTTGGGGAGTGAACCAGTGGACGGAACATCTCTTTTTCTGTCTTTCCTTTCTGTGTAACTTTGCCTACCAAGTAAAGTGAATAAATCAAAAAAATGAGGGGGCTGGACACTGAATGTGAGGTTGTAGAAGACAGATTACTGGTGTGATGTTTCTAAAATACTAGTGAGTGAAAAAATTATAGAAAATTTATAAGCAAAGACAGGAAGGATCAATAGCAGATGGGAACAATTTTTTCTCTGATGATTTGTATTTCAAATTTTTGCTTAGCTCTACTTTCTTCAAAATATTTTAGAAAAGATCTTTTCTTCTTCCCCTTTTTTTTTTTGGTAGTACAAAAAAATCCACTGAAGTTGTTCCAAGGCAGAGGTCGCTGTCCACGTCCGTCTACATTTGCGCTATCAGTCGGCGCTCAGAACGTCTCAGACGCTGCAGCATTTTGGAGTTTTGGATGAGGGATGCTTAACTGATAATTCCATCAGATTGTGTTTTCTTTTGGCCAAACTGAGATTACTTTATATGTTATGCTACGCACACACACACACACACACACACACGGCAAATCTGTGCTACAAAAGCCTTAACTGGGCATGGGAAAAAATAAATCCTGCAATTATCTAAAATACTCATATTATCTCTCTGTGCAAGAGGAACAGTGAGGATTTTTTCTTTCTTTCTCTTTTATGCAACTTAACTCTGTACTTGCTCAAATATCTTATAATGGGCATTGGTTATTTTAATAACCAGAAAACTAGAAGTTAAGAACAGTTCACAGAGCCCAGCCCCCTTGGTCAGTGTGCCCATGGTGCTTCCAGATATGTGTGCTCTCAGAGACAGGGGTCCCTCAAAGGGCAGAAAAGAGGGGAGGAGCCCCAGGGGGGCTCCAAGGCAGAAGGTCTAGGACCCAGGGGGAGGTACTGGCCTTGCCACTTTGCTCCATCCATAGTGGGAGCATCCACATGAGTACCTGACATCCATTACTGCATTTACTGTAGGATGAGAACAGCCTAGGGTGGCTGCAGGGTTAAATGTACTGCTGGACAGCAGGAGTGCCACGGCTTCTCCCTCATGCGAAATCCAGGAGGCACAGGGCACGCGCTTGGCATTAGCTCCTGGCTATCACCATTGTGGGGAGGGGCTGTCTGGGGGCCTTACCTGTGAGCAAGGACTTCCCCAGGCCATCGGGCTGAAGGCACACGGCATGGCCAAAGTCACAGAGGGCCGCACGGCTCCCATCACTGGACAGGAGCACGTTGTCAGCTGCCAGCCGGATCAGGGAGGAAGAGCGACAGGTGAGTCACGTCGGGTCCTGGCCCACCCTGGATCCTCTTGGCCTGGCCCGCAGTGAAGTCATTGTCTGGCTGAGCCCATGCAGCAGCTGTGTTATGATTTGTTAACAGTCATGGAAGTGAGGGGGGCTCCAGTGCAGGCCAGGGGCAGATGGCACCTTGGGGACAGGAGCAGGGTTTCCTCCTTGGAACTCTGCCACTGTCCTCTGCTGCCCCCACTTTCCCAGTGGTCATCAATGGGCAGGAGCTCGCACCACCCACTGGAAACTGCAGTGCCAGGGCTGAGGGCTAGAAACACCACCCCCTTCTCACTGGGCGCAGACCTGTTAGCCTGACTCAGGCCCTCCTGATGGAGACAACCAGGCAGGCCTAGAGCTGGGGGAAGAGCAGGCAGGAAGGTGTGGGGGAGGAGGTTGTGAAGCTGCACCTCACCTTTGACATCTCCGTGCAGAATCCTTCGTGAATGCAGGTATTCCAGCCCCTCCAAGGCCTGGCCCAGGTAGTAGAGGGCCCGGTCCTCCGGCAGACAGCCCTTCTGCTTGATGAGCTGGCCCAGCGAGCCGCCTAGGAGACCAAAGGCCAGGCTGGACACACTGCTTCCCGGGCCTCCCAGAAAGCCATGGGCCAGAGTGAAGGGCAGGAAGGGCAAAGCCTTTCTCGAGGTGTCACAGGGTCAGGAATGTGGACTGACTGGAAACCAAGGTCAACCTATGCACGACCGGGGAAACTTTGGCCTTGAATTCTGAACAATGAAGAATGGCATGTGGCTGCTTACCTTCTAGCAGCTCCATGAAGATATTGACCCATGGGCCTTCTCTCACGGCTCCATACAGGGGGACGATTCTGGGTGAGGTCAGCCCCGCACAAGCCATCAATTCCTCTGCCCGGAACACCTCGACTCGTACCTGCAAGTGCCCAGAGCTGCCTTGAGTTGGGGTGAGGGGAGCAGGCTGGCTCCCTGGCATCCTCTTAGGGACCTTGGTGACCCTGGTGGTAATGCTGCAGCCAGGCAGGGGCTGGCCAGCCTGCCAGCCCTCAGGGACCAAACTGAACACCAAGGTACTCAGCACTAGGGCCACCTCCTTGTAACAGTTTGGCAGGGGGCCAGCACTGTGGCATAGTGGGTAAAGCCACTGCCTGCAGTGCCAGCATCCCATAGGTGTGCCAGTTTAAGTCTCAGCTGCTCCACTTCTGATCCAGCTCTCTGCTTTGGCCTGGGAAAGCAGAAGATGGCCCAAGTCCTTGGGCCCCAGCACCCGTGTGGGAAGACCTGGAGGAAGCTCCTGGCTCCTAGTTTTGGATTGGTGCAGTTCCTGCCATTGCGGCCTATTGGGCAGTGAACCAGTGGATGGAAGACTCTCTCTCTGCCTCTCCTCTCTCTGTGTAACTCCAACTTTCAAATAAATACATAAATCTTAAAACAACAACAACAACAACAAAGTAGTTTGGCAGCACTGACCATCTGTGAACACAGTCCCACAAAACCCACACTCCCTGTCCCAGCTCCCAGCACGCTGCTGCCTTCAAGTCTGCGCAGGACACTCTTCCCCTCCAGCCCAAATGTGCTGGCAACTTCTAGGACACAGGCCTCTGCCGCTGGCAGGTGTCCTGGGTCCTCAGTGTCCCTCCCAGGTATCTGTCTCTTTCCCAGAGGACTGGAAGGTTCGTGCAGCCAGAGCAGTGTTTATTCTGTCTGCAGCTGTGTCCCCAGCATCTGGACACAGGGATACCTGAGGAGGGGCCCTGTGTGCTGGCAGGTCTGGGGTCCCCTCCCTTCCACAGGGAGCAGCAGCGTGGCATGGTGGGAAGCAGCAGGTCTCAGATGCAGACGTCGAAGGCTTAGGCCCTGGTTCGGCCACTTCAGAAAAGGCAGCATACTTCCCACAGACTGCGGGCTTCCTCGGCCAATGGGTGGGGTGGGAGGGATGCAAAGTGACATCCGCTCTCGGCAGAGCGAGGATTCAGGAGGAGGACAACTAGCGCCACACCTGCTGACCAACAGGTGCTCAGGAAACGCTAGCTCCTCACTTCCTCCCTCAGCTCAGTAAACACATCCTTACTCATGGAAGCTCTGTGTGGCATCACCAGGGGGCGCCAGTGGAAACAGGACCAGCTGGCAGAGTTCTGCTGGGACTTGTGGCTTGGCAAACAGGAGCTCAGACTTTAGACTTTTGCCTGTCAGTGGAAACTGTCTCTTCTGGTTCCGTGCAGTGTCTGGCTCGGCTAATCAGCACTCAGGAACTGTGACTCTTTGTTGGAGTCTCTAGCTCTAAAAAGTCTTGACCCTGAGTCGGAAGGAATTCACCAAGAGGACTCGCTTGGGCCAATGCCTTGAACTTCCCCCCACCCAGATGGAGCTGAAGCATGGCAGAGACCCCCGCAGGTGCCACAGACCGGGAACATTTGCAGGATTCCCAGCGTCTGCGTGGCCCCACGTGAACCACCCACTTGAGGTGGCTCAGCGTCAGCATCAGAGCCCACACCCCTCAGGGTTCTGCAGCTGCTATGGAAGACAGGACACTCAGCAGGGAATGGGCAGGAAAGCTGGTGGGGCCCAGTTTGACTTCAAGGTTGGGGAGGCTGTGTGATGCCCAGCTTGGCCCTGAGCCATGAGTTCTGGTCATTCCAGAGTGGAAGGAGATTCGTTCTTTCAACTTCTGTGCCCTGCCTTTCTGACGGCTGCTATCTTGTTAGCATAAAGACTTACTACTGGACCTACTATATTTACTAAATGGAACTGCTGGGTAACTGTTTTGGCCCAGGGCACTCTGAAAAGATTACTGAGATATTAAGGGTTATGAAACAAGAAAGTTCAGGAGGGGCAGGCGTTGTGGCACAGTAAGCTGCCACTTGGGACACTGCATCCTATATCTGAGTACTGGTTGGAGTCCCGGTTACTCTACTTCCAACACAGCTCCCAGCTAATGCACCCGGGAAGCAGCGGATAATGGCTTAAGTGCTTGAGTTCCTGCTACCCACATGAGAGGCCTGGATGGAGTTTCTGGCCCCTGGCTTTGGCCTGGCCCAGTCTCAACTTTTGTGGTCATTTGGGGAGTGAATCAGCAGTTGGAAGATCTCTGTCACTCAGCCTTTCAAATGATTAAATCTTAAAACAAACCAAAAAAAGCTGTTTAAGAGCCTCTGGGTTAACTTTTAAATCGGTTAAGACCTCTAGAGAGTTCCAGCAATGTTTAAAACATTTCTACCCGCTTAGACCAAAGTGGGTGGCAGACGACACATCAAACTACAAACTATGTCAGAAGTCCAGGCTGGGCCAAGGAAGCAAGCTCAAGGGCAGTTCTGCGGGAATTGGGGGGTGGAGGGCAAGATAGCCCCACCTTCTGTTCAGGCTGGCTGCCCACTTCTCTCCCCACCCGGAGTTCAGTGTCCTCATATGTAAGGTGAGGGGCTGAACTGTGGTGAGGATGTTAATGAGAACGGGTATCTATTGCCCACTTAACACAGGCCAGGTGCTATGGAAGCCCTTTGGAAGCACCATTTACATCTTGCAACAGCCCATGGGGTGGTGGTGTCATTATCCCCATTGTTTCCTTTTTAAATTTATTTGAAAGGGAAGGAAAGAGAGAGTGAGATCAAGCTCCCATCCTGGGGCTTGGTCAGGCCAAAGCAAGGAGCCAGGAACTCAATCTGGGCTTCCCACTTGGGTGGCAGGGACCCAAGCATTTGAGCTAGCACCACTGCCTCCCAGGTGCATTAGCAGGAAGCTCGATGGGGAGCGGGGAGCACAGAGCAGCCAGGACTTGAGCCAGGCACTTCAATATGGGTGCGGGTATCCCTAGCAGAGTCTTAACACTGAGCTGTGCCAAACACCCACCCAATCATTTCGATTTTACAGATGAGGAAGCTGACGCCTGGGCAAGTACCGTGTGCAAGGTCACTGAGTACAAAGCATCACAGCCAGGATTTCAGCTGGGGAAACCCAACTCCAGAGCTGCCAGCCAGTCCACCCCCGAAAGAACTCTCCAGGAGTGGCCCTCACCTCCTGAATGCTTTGCACACACTCAGGAGCGAGTGTGGCCAGCAATCCGCCTGTGGCCACCTCCATAAGCTACCTCCCTCCAGCTAAGAGCCCGCGTGCTTGACACGGGCTCTCCCAATTGTTTTCATCTCGTGTGTTTGATTCCAACAGTAAAGAGGGGATAGCAGCAATTCTGTAAGTTCTCTGGAAGAGTCCAGGATTGGATCTACATGAAAGTGACTAACACAGAACTGGGCACACAGGTGTGCAGAAAATGTAAGGGGTCCAGCCCCACTTCCTCACAGTCATCCAGTCTGCTCTGGATCCTTGCTGTTTTCATCCTAAATATGCTGATGGTCTCTCCTTTGTGTCACCTGTTACAGCTCCAGCCCCTTCAGGCCAGGCCTGTGGGTTCCACACCTCTGTCCCCAGCCCCTGTACACCGTCTGGCACAGAGCAGGTGCTCAAAACCAGCTGGTTCGACTTGGCAAAGGCCAAGGCCATACTATTATATTTCAGCGGCCAAGCCAAAGGGACACTCCCAAACTCCATGCGCGAGCCAGATGTCCCAAAATGAACAAGTCTTCACCCTCCCTGGGCCACTGGCCCCTCTGAGAATCTGATAAATGACACAGGCCCTACTCCATCAAAAATGTGGTGCGCCACAAACATGCGTTTTAATAGAGTTCCAGGAATTCATGGATTCTATCAACCCACCTCCTGACCCGGATAAGAACTTCCACATGTTAAACAGTACAAACACTGTGTATGTACCACCGAGGAAACTCTGCAATGTGCTATTACACAAAACCAGAACAATCCAATAATGTCTATGATCTCATTTTTATAAAGGAAACTGCATGTTTATAAATGCACAACAAATCTAAAACCATGTCAAAAGTCAGGCACTCCTGGGCATAGGACTGGGGACAGGAAGACATTTTTGGTGTCCTTTGAATGCTTTTGTAACAAGTCTGCATTTGTTTGCAATTGAAAGATCAAAGCATATCTTAAAAAAAGTAAAAACTGGGTGGCTGGGGATAGGAGCAGGTGGTACTGGCGACTGGGCGGGGGCGGGGAGTAAATGGGGAAGGCAAAAAATAAAAAAAAAATTAAAAAAGTAAAAACCTTGCATTAAACCCTGGACTTATAGTCAATCAGTATGTGACCCAGGCGAGGGATATTTTAGAACAGAGGATGGAAACTTTTTTTGCCTAGGGCTATGTGCAGATTTGCAACACCATTCGTGGGCCATACAAAATGATCAGCTTTAAAATTAGCCTGCTAAGATTTACTGAATTTTGAGCCTTGCCTGAGGTTGCCGTGGCAGGGCCAGACTAGAGGATTTTAAAGGCCTTCTACAGGCCGGACGTTCCCCACCCATTCTAGGAGACGCAAGGGAGTGCTGGCATTACCACCGATGCCACACGTCCTGGATGCTCCTCGGGGAGCACCAGAGGGCACAGCTTGCTGGGACTCCAGGCGCAATGTGACTTCTGGCACCTGACCACCATCCGCAGCCCCCGCCCCACATCAGGAAGCTGTTTCTCCTGAAGTCTTGCAGTTCCTAATGGCTACCACGTCTACCCCCTGGCTCCCCTGAGAGAAAGGAGCCAGCCAAGGGAGCTCCCTTCCCAGCCCTGCCTGCTCCGGGGTGGGGAGGAGGTGCAGTTCTGGGTGGGCCCAGCTCTGGGGCTGCGGAGTCCCTGCCCTGTACTGCTGGGGAGTTAGAAGTGGAGTGTTTTCCTCCTCACTGTTAGGGCTGTTTGTTTTGTTGCCTGGACTCGTAGGACCTCAGCGGCTAACAGCTGAGAAGCCGGTGACTAAGCTCGCAGCACTGGGTGCCTGTCCCTAGGACACTTCACACTCTCTCACCTCCTCCCACCACCTCTCAGTGGGGACAGCTGGGCCTTCTCCGGTGGCCTGGGGAGGGGCACTGCCGTTGAGGAGGTCAGGCACGTGGCCTTGGTCTCCAAGTAGAAGAGGATGAGCCACACTGGCAAGAACTCACACTGCTTTGCCAGTGGGGGTGGTGAGGGTAGAGCTTGCTTATTTGACCCAGTCTGCCTGAAGTTTGGGGTAACACTTGCAGACAGCCCCCTCTCAGTCCACCACTCTGATGGCCAAACTCAGAACTTAACACCCTAGCCCTTGTACTAACCCAGGAAGCAAGGTTTGTTCACTTCCAGCTGTCTCCTCACCCCTTAAAGCCACAGGCACTACGGCCTCGGGGCAGAGCCCACTATGCACAGGGCTGACTGTGCTGCCTCTGGGCTGGGCTAGCTATTTGGTCCCTTTCCTTTTAGGGATCAGTGTCCTTGACATGAACCACCTGAAACAAGGTCCACCCGAGCCGCGTTTCCCCTGCCCAAGGGCCAAGAAAACAGTGCACAGAATACCCTAAGGTGGTGGCCAGGATGAGCTGAGTCAGCGGCATGGAGACAGATGCTGCACCCAGAGGGCTGGGGGTGTGCCGCTGCCTCCACCTCCCACGGGGGCCTGGGCAGTGTGAGGTGTCAGGAGGCCTGGCTGGGTGGCCTCAGGCAAGCCACTCTCCTCTTGGGTCTCTGGTTCTGACATCGGTGAGGTGCGGGGTCGCAGGGGTGATTTGTGCATTGGGCTGCTAATCAAAACCACAGTTCCAACTCCTCCTTTCCTGCCTCCTTCTTGAAGGGTGATCTAGAGCTGAATTCTGGGTCAGACAAACCTGTCTGGATCTTGGCCCTGTCACTAGGCCATCTATTTAATCCCTTGAGAGTCTCATTTCCTCGTGTCTGTCTCACAGGACTGTATTACACCTGGACAAGGGCAGGCAGAGCTGGAACTCAAGGCAGATCTAAAGTCCAAAGTGCCTGGCCTCCTCCCATTAAGCATCTTACGGCTAGGGGCTACTGCTCTTTTTTTTTTTTTTTTTTTTTTTTTTTTTTTTTTTTTTTTAATTTTTTTGACAGGCAGAGTGGACAGTGAGGGAGAGAGAGACAGAGAGAAAGGTCTTCCTTTTTCCGTTGGTTCACCCCCCAATGGCCGCTGCAGCTGGCGCACCGTGCTGATCTGAAGCCAGGAGCCAGGTGTTTTTCCTGGTCTCCCTTGCGGGTGCAGGGCCCAAGCACTTGGGCCATCCTCCACTGCATTCGCGGGCCACAGCAGAGGGCTGGACTGGAAGAGGGGCAACCGGGACAGAATCCGGCGCCCCGACCGGGACTGGAACCCAGGTGCCGGCGCCGCAGGCGGAGGATTAGCCTAGTGAGCCGCAGCGCTGGCCAAGGGGCTACTGCTCTGATTACCTTTGGTCCAGGTGTGTTGTGTAGGGGGTGCTGTGTGACTTAGGGATTTCATCTCAGCATGAATTCCATGATCACCCTCCAGATCTGGCCTTGCCCCTAAGGACTTTGGCACCAGGAGCAGCCTGGACAGGATTCAGACTCAGAGGCTGTGTGCCCACTCTTTTGCTCCCTCTCACAGACACACGTGCTGATGGGAGTGACAAGGCCAGGACATGTGACAGGCTGCTCCCTCCAGCTCCAACTGACCAGGGTGGCTAGCTCTGTTACCAGGTCAGACTCACAGCCTTCCTGGGACTATCTTGGAACAAGCAAGAAACGCACAGGCCCTGATTGCCTTTGCCCTTCAGTGCCTGGAGTCCTGGTGCAGCTTTCTCTGGCCTACCTTTTTGACAGCACACTGGAAGCCGGTCTGCTTGTCCTCCATCCTATGGACCTCTCCAAAGGAGCCCCTGCCCAGGCGGGGCTGGTGTGTGGCCCAGTGCACTTCTTCCCGGTACTCGTAGTCCAGTGGCTTGAGTTTCTGGGGTGGCAGGAGAGACAGGCTAGTTTCAGAGGCCAGGGTAGCTCAGGGATGAAGGGCTCCAGTGAGGGAGGCACTCGGATGGCCATAGCTGAGCTTGGAGCTAGAAGGCGGTCACACCAGAGACCTCCATGTCTATGGCAGGGCTGGGAGGGGGGAAGGCAGGACCTGAGGGGCTGACAGGATGAAGGGGAAGGCCAGCCAATCTGGGTGATGGAAAACCTTCCTAGGCTTGGGATGGAAGGACAGAAGTGGAGTTGCCAGCAGCAACCTTGACAATGACAAAAGAGAACTTGGGAGCTGGAAGGTAGACAAAAGGGAGGAACAATGAAGAGGGGGCAGAGCAGGTCCACAAATTCAAGTTTATGAACTCATCTAGAGGTCCTGAGTTATCCAGGGAGACAGCAGGCACAAGGGATGGATGGCAGGGGTGAACACAGGCAGGATCTCTCAGTGTGTGTACATCCACAGAACGCAGTCAGCAGTGATGAGGTGACCAACCAGAACTACAGAGAAACCGCTAGGAAGGCTGGGAAAGGTGGGCATGGACTTGGAGAGGGGGACAGCCGCTTTTCATCCACAAGCAGCACATTGCTAGCATCTGATCTGCGACCTGGTGCAAGAGAGACTCTGACAGTGAGAAAACCATGGCGGAGGTCTGGCTGGTTTCAAAGAGGCCGCTGCTCTGCTAACAGGCTGGCCCTGCCTCCTAGCTGAGGCTCTGGCCTAGCCCTGGTGGAGGGGTGGACGGGGGTTGGGGGATTAGTTACCTCTGTAAGCAGGACTCCCTCGCAGTCCTCAGTTTCGGGGCTGGGCTTCCGGGGCTGGGATCCTGCTGTTGACCAGGTCTTAGCCAGGCTGGTCAGGCTGTGGGCCTGGCCCGAGCTCACGCTGCCTTGCAGAGCGTGGACCAGGTATTCCTCCACCGAGAACTTCTCCTGGGCGCTATGAGCTGTGTAGCTGGGCTCCAGGGGTGGGCCAGGCAGGGGCTGCTGGCTGTCTGCACAGGCTAGTTTGCCCAGGACAAAGGACTCCAGGGGCTGAGCTTTCCGTGGCTGGAGAGGGCAGAAAGGGAAGGGGTGGGGCAGTCTGCTGTAGGGGAAAGGGTGAGCCAGCTGGGGCAGGGGCCCCACGTCCTGGGGGTGGTGGAGCTTCCACACGTGGTTCAGACATTGCAAGGGGCTGATCAGTTTGTGAAGTTCTGATCGAGGCAGTGCCGGCCGTAGGTCCTCACCAAGTTTCTTAAAACAGAGTTGGCCAAGGCCTGGTTCCCTCAGAGGTTTGGTGAACTGGGGGCTGCTTCTAATATACGGGGTGCCCAATGGAGACTCATCCTCCTGCAGGGGAAACACAGGAGTTAGGACAGGTGTTCAGAAGGCCCCAGGAGCCGGGCTCTGGGCAGGGGGTGGCGGGTCTCACCTGCACGGGGACTGTGCAGCTCTCCTGCTCAGGGGTTCGGGGGCAGGGTTTGGCTAAGGCCACTCCTGCCTGTGCCGGGGACTTTGAGCTCTTCTTCTTCTTCCTTTTCTTGCGGGCTTTGCTGCGACGCTTTCCCTTCCAGCACACACGGGCTGTTCTGCCCTCGGTTGCGTGGGCCACATTGTTGGGGATCTGATCAAGGCCCTCAGACTGGCTGTCAAGAGAGGGCAAGGTGGGCGCTGAGGGCACAGGAGGCAGGAGGATGGGATGGGTCAGGTTAACCGTGGAGTCCACAGATCTGAGATCCAGTGCCTCTGGGTTATGACGGTTGCTTATTGACAGCACTGTGTCTGAGATACGTGTGAGTTCGTCAGGGGAGTGGCAGAGCGTATGCTCACACAAAGCAGGAGTGCTACCAAGTCACGGGGTCGTACAGTAATCCTGTGAGACCACGTCACATCACACGGCATGTGACCACACTCATGCAAATTCGGGACAGGTCTTAGCCAGAGGAACCTCAGTTTTCTCATATGTGAAATCTTTCTGCTGTGCAGGGAGGACACGAGGTTCCAATGAAACAGTTCACTAACAAGCCAACCTCCATGCCCAGCCCAAGGCCAGCTGTCAACACACGGGGCCTAGGACCCTGCTCTCTTGAGGGGGGACAGCAGAGACATGGGCTTCTCTCTGCTGTCCCCTGGAGGGCTTCCAGAAGAGCGCCATGTTCACAGCAGACGTCCTCAGCCCGGACTGGCAGCGGTTTGTTTCTGATGCCTCCAGAGAGAAGGCTAGTTGCTGTCATCATAGTCAGGTTGCCTGCACTGGTCCCTGGAGATACCTGGTTACTGCAGGAAGCCAGGAGCTGCCTGCCTGGTGTCCGGGGACCATGGAGCTTGTCCTTCCTTCTCTGACCACCCAGAGGCTTCTCCCCACCATGGCTCTCACGGGTTCACACCACTGCTAGTTCTGAGAGGAACTGCACCATGAGAGTTTTTGAATGTGGTATGGAGCAGACCACAGCCTCTGCCGCGCTCCTTGGGCCTCACCTTCTGCCCTGAAAATAAAGGCAGGCTCCCCCCAAGGCCTGGGGACGGCTGGAGGCCTGAGCTCCCACAGGCTCCTCTCTGAAGGCTGAGAAGGGTGGGCCCATCAGAAACCCTTGCCCCGGGCCAAGGCCTCCAAGTCAGCAGAGGAGTTCGGCCAAAGTCCGAGGCTTTCTGGCTCCCAGCGGCAGCCCTCCCACCGTCACTAGCAGCTTCCAGATCCCAAGGGTACAGAAGCTGGCCTGCAGCCGGGGGAGGGAAGTGTTTCTAGGCTGAACCCTCAGTTGCCAAACAGCGTCTCTGGGGGTCTGAGAGCTGGGAGTGCGTCCTGCCGCTCTGGTCTGCCCAGCCCCTGCCTCCACAAAACCATCCCCTACAGGTGAGTCTCCAGGGGGAGACACCAGTGGGCTCTCTCCCCAGGGGACGGTGAGGGGACCCCTGCACAGGCGATCACAGACACGCACCAGTAGGAAGTGGCCCCTGTTCCCGGAACCCTCCCTGTTGATGGAAAGCAGGGGTGCCTCAAGGACTCAGAAAAGAACAAAAACAAAGTGTCAGGCTGATGGGACCCAGAGGCAGGCGTCCACACGCCCTGAAAAGGCTCTGAAAGGCTTTACATGCCAAGAGCTGAACCACAGGTGTCTGAGGAGGGAGCCAGGGCCAGCGGGCAGCAGCCTGGGTGCGCAGGGCAGGGAGGACACCAGCTTCGGGTCCCCGGCCCCGCCCAGCAGGCTTTCTTACCTGTACTGTTTTGACCCTGCGATGAAAATGCGTTCTGAAAAGGTGGGGCTGAACTCCTGGCTGTTCTCACCTTTGAAATAAGTGGAGAGAGGGGGGGTTTGCAGAGAGAAGAGAAGGAACACGACCTCAGCAGCAGATGCACCTTAGAGTCCTCCTCTCCCCCCTCAGCACGTCTCTGCCGGCTACCTCCTGGCCCTGGCCTCCTCTCACTGACCGTCTGACCTTCCTCCTGCCCAGCTTCATGGTCAAGAGCAGAAGGGATGTTGAGGATTTGGGGACTGTGGGGCGCCCACCTCACTTCTAGTGTACAGCTTCTGTGAAATGATCTACACAAAGCACACGGCACAGGGCAGTGGCTTCATCCTACAGAGAGGACCGTGAGCGTGTATGTTCCACACTGGTTCAGCTACATGTGTGTATCTGTATACCACCACTACTATGTGGCTCGCTCCATTTTCCTTTTCATTCCCTCAGCTCTCTTCAACAAGCAAACAGCCGCAAGTGGGAAAGGAAGGAAGGAAGCCTCATCACTGGCTGTCAGGCCCTCCACGTCCCACCCCTAGAAACCTCTGGGCTTGGAGCGAGTGTCGGAAAGGGGAGAGGACTGCTGGCCTTCCCCGGCCCTCCTAGAGCCGCCACCATTGCCTGTCACCTTGAGGTACTGCGAGTAGAAGCACAAAGTGCCAGGCCCAGTCTCACCCTGGGGTGGCTGCAGCCCTGGACTGGACCAGCATGCCCCAAAGCAGGGTGTTCATCCTGGGGGTTGGGGCCATATCCAGGTGGAAGGTGGAAAAGGACCTGCAAGTCCCAGCGGGGCTTTCCGGGAGACCTGGTCTTTCCTGGCTAGGGCCCCTCTAGGCTACTGGCCCTCTTGATGATCCCGCAAAGAGACCCAAGTCACCTGCCTCTCAGTGCTGCCACCTCTTCTCACCATGGGTTCAGCCTCTGTTCCCCACATCCGCTCTTTCATCTCCCACTACTTCTCACTGAATCTGGGCCATGGCCATGTCTTGTGAGAATCTTATCTAATGGTTACCTTAACCACTCCTTTCCATCAGGGACCCCAAGCCTGGCCTCCTCTGTGTCTAGCCCGCCACCTGCTCCCTGTGCCCACAAGCCAGTCCCTTACATTCAGCCTGGGCGATGATGGAGATGGCGGCTGGCCCGCCCCCGGAGCCTTCCTTGGCTGTGCCCTTGGTAATCACGTCATTTAGGACCTCCCACTTCCCGCAGAACACAGGGCTCTTCTCCACGGCCTCGAGATGGAGGAGGGAGCTCTGCTTCTTCCCCAGAGACTGTGTCTTCTCCTTGGCTTGGGCGAGCTCCTTCTGCTGCCCAACTGCAGAGCCAGGGGTGCCCGGGCAGGCTGTTTCCATCACTGCCATCTTCCACGCTGTGCTCACGCTGTGGGAGACCAAGAACAGAGAAGGTCACTTGCAATCCCAGACCCCCAGAGTGGGCACCAGGCAGGCTTGGGCTGGAGGAGAAATGCAGGGGCAAAAGGTATTTTTTATTTTATTTTTTAAAAAATATTTTATTGTCCGGCGCCACAGCTCACTAGGCTAATCCTCCGCCTGCGGCACCGGCACACCGGGTTCTAGTACCAGTCGGGCGCTGGATTCTGTCCCGGTTGCTCCTCTTCCAGTCCAGCTCTCTGCTGTGACCCGGGAGTGCAGTGGAGGATGGCCCAAGTGTTTGAGCTCTGCACATGCATGGGAAACCAGGAGAAGCACCTGGCTCCTGCCTTCGGATTGGCGTGGTGCACCGGCCGCAGCGCGCCGCTGGAGCGGCCACTGCGGGGGTGAACCAACGGAAAAGAAAGACGTTTCTCTCTGTCTCTCTCCCTCTCACTGTCCACTCTGCCTGTCAAAAAAAAAATTGTATTTACTTATTTGAGAAGTAGAGTTACAGACAGAGAAAGGGAGAGAGACAGAGAAAGAGGGAGATCTTCCATCCACTGGTTCACTCCCCAAATGGTCGCAACGGCCAGAGCTGCACCTATCTGAAGCCAGGGGCCAGGAGCTTCCTTTAGGTCTCCCACTGCTTTCCCAGGCCATAGCAGAGAGATGGATCAGAAGAGGAGCAGCTGGGACCTGAACCAGCGCCCATATGGGAAGCCGGCACCGCAGACAGAGGCTTAGCCTACTACTCCACAGCACCAGCCCTGCTACTCTTAAAATCTTTATTTATGTGAAAGGCAGAGAGACAGGCAGAGAACTTCTTTGTGCTGGTTCACTCCCCAAATGCCCACAACAGTTTGGGTTGGGCTGGGCTAAAGCCAGGTGCATTAACTCAATCCCAGTAACCTACATGGATGGCAGGGACCCAAGGACTTGAGCCATCACCTGTTGTCTCCCAAGGTGCACATTAGCAGGAAGCTGGAATCAGGAGTGGAACCAGGACTTCTCAGGCACTGATATGGAATTAAGTGGCATCTTAATCACCGTGCCAAATGCCCGCCCCAGGTCTCTGCCACTTTAGGCCACATGTACTGATCCTTCAAACAGCCTGAATGGTAAAAGAGTCAATCTCTCAACATCTACATGTTTCATGTGGCACAGCGCTAGTCTCGCCTCGACATGAACAGACTCTTCCTCTGGGCCGACAAGGAGGAGCAGAGCCCACTCCCTCCAGCACACGACAACACAAACACCTCGGTGTGTTCCTCCCTGCTTTGCTAATGGCTCATAGGAAGGCCGCTTTGCTTCCCTGGGACAGGGCGCTGAGCCCCATCCCCCAAGACCATCACCTCACTGACCCTGCAGAAGTCTTGCCTTCTTAGAGGACATGTCTACACTGTCCACAGTGACTTTTCTCCAAGTGAGAGAATGAGGATTAGGTTTTGCCCCTGAGCAGGAGGCAGATATACGCTGCGTGTGCGTGTGTATGTGTACATGTGTGTATTTATGTTTTACATGACCTAGAACTCAGCATGCTCAGCCCTGGGCCCCTTTCCCAAGATGCATCTGCTTGTGGCTCTCCAGCCGGACTGACAAGTTTCCTTCTCGAAGGTCAAGCTCATGGCTGAAAGCTTCCCAACTGTCATTTTTTTTTCAGGCAAGGTTAGCAGTAATTTGTATCAGAGACCCCCACACCTACCTACACCTCTACAAACATGAGCACAAAGCACAAGAACTGGCCTCCTTCTGGATACGGCGCGTACTGGCAATCCCGTTCAAACAGCAGGTAGAGCTGTCACGAAGGAGAACCACACCCATCTCTGATCGCTACCATTCAGAAACCTTTTTAAAGACTGCGACTTTCTCAAGGGCAGGGCTCCTATGGGGTGTGACTTGTTTCAGACCAAGACTGAGAAGGCACCAAATGCAAGCAGGTTTTTAACGATCCTGAGATCCTGACGATACTGACAATGGCGGGTCTCAGGTGTGGTCTTCCCTGCTGCACCCGGATGGCTGCTGTTTGCTCCTGGGCAGACCTCAGCAAGCCACACCTCTAGCGCCCCTGGCCTTGCGCCCTCAGGCCTACAGGTTAACGGGACACAGAAGGCCGAGGACTTCTTCCCACTCAATCTGCCCTCCTTATCTTTTCTGGCCATGCTTGGGGTGGCTGTGGGGGGTGTAAATTTAAACAAATTTAGATTTGTTCCTTACAGCTCTGCCTCCAGGGACCTCCTGGCTTTGAACTCCAGCACTCCAGCACCCAGCAGGGATGCTCGCATTTGGTGCTGAAGGCCAGGTGCTGCGCAGTGAGTAGGCAGCCTCACTGTTCCTCGAGGGTCTCAGCTCGTCTAAGAGGCGTTCTGATGGCTATAACTGGGCAGAAGGCCTCCAAGGCAGCTTGTGTGTCTTGGAGTCACACTTGCACACACATACCCCACCAAACAAGAACGGGTCTAAGGCCCACAAGTAGCTCCTACCTGGCTCAGCCTCTTTACCAGGGGAAATGAGATTGCGCAAACAAACCAACAAAACCACCACATCGACCCGTGCTAGAGGTGTGTGCTCACAGACAGCCTGATGCGCTTCAACTGTCTCAACCTTATTTGAAGAGCCTGAGGCTTTAGGAAGTGGAGGCGTCCCCAAGGTCACCAGCCCAGGTACGGGAGAGCAGGGCCAGGACCTGTGCTGTGCTGCCCACTCACTCCCCAAGTCTCCTGAGGGCCCTGCACATGGGGCAGCCCTGTCTACAGCACAGCGGGGCAGTGGCAAGACAAGCAGGCGGAAGAGTGCTTCTCCACGACCCTCAGACAGGAGGACCGGGAGTGCCCAGCATGGAGAGCAAGCTCCTCTGATGAAAGAAGAACGAGGCCACGGGCTGCTCCGAGACACGCGGCTGTGCTCAGGCTCCGACAGCCTGGCTCTGCCCGGCAGGGCCCGCCCGTGTTCTGGATGCTTGGTCCCGGGCTAGGACTCCTCGAGACGGGCTGTGGGGCACACGCAGGAGCCAGCTTTCATCCTGGAGTCTGGCTGGGCAGCTGGCCTCGCCCTGATCCTCTCTCTGTGACCTCGCTAGGCTCTCCTCTCTCTGGAGGAGTTGAGGCTCAGGAGCTGAGCTCAGTCTCCTCTGCGCCTCCCTGATGATTCATCCAACAGCTGGGCAGGCAGAGCAGCAAGGAGGCTGCAGAGAAGCTGACCCGGCAGATGGCAGCTGGGCCTGTGAAGGACGTGGGGCAAGCAAGCTGACCCTCACCTCCCAAGCGCACAGAATCACAGCCCAGGAGCTGTGACACTTCTCCTGCAACTGGCTTTCCTGTGCCACGTGACGCTGACTCAGACCCTCTCTGATAGCCTCCAAGTTCAAGAGGCTATTCTGGGGACACCTTGGCCTGAGCAGCTCTCCTCCACGCTTGATGCTTCCCTCCGTTCCCACTTCCATGTGGGTTCTGGTCTTCAAAACTCAGCGTTCTGCATTAGGCCCAGGTGCTGGCCAGGTGGTCTCCCCAGCCCTGGGCTTTGGCCCAGGCCTTCTGCCCAGCTCACAGCCCTGTCGCTCTCCGGCAGCATGTGGGGAGTGAGGACTAAGTGGGAGCCAGTTCTGCCTCTGCTTTTGAAAGCCAATCAAGATCCTGGACCATTACTCAGCCTGGACACTCTCCCAGACTCCACTCAGGCCTCAAATGCATTCAGCCCCTGCTCTCTGTATCAGAGCTGAAGACGTGCACAGTGGCAACAGTCAAACTCATCCAGCTTACCCACAAGCCTGTGGAAACTAAAGAGGAAGACAGCAGAGCAGAATTCACTCAGTGCTATATACCGCCTGCTCCCTCCCCACGGTGCCTCCTCGACCCCCGCAGAATGCCCAGGGATGGCCTGGGTCTATTCATTCCTAGCCTGGCTTTGGGGAGGTCTGTGAGCCCCAGCAACTAAATGCAACTGTGTTTTTCCAGGGAAGAGAGCCACAGCATTTAACACTCTCTCCAAGGGCCTGCCGTTCCCCAGTGTCCCTGGAAGTCAGGGCTCTCACACAGCAGCTTCCAACCCAACTGCCAGTTAGAGTCACCAGGCGAGGGCTTGGAACGCGCTCATCCTAGACCTGCTGAATCACAGGCACTGGGCAAGAGGCCCAGAATCTGTACTTCTGACAAGTTCTTGGGATGATTCTGATACCAAGAGGCCAGGGGCTGACATCTGACCCCTGCTCCAGCCTCTAAGGTGACACTGTCCAAAATGGTAGCCAGTAGCAACATGTGGCTATTTACATTGAATTAAAATCAGAGACAATTTAAAAGCCAGTAGCTCTGTTACACCGGCTCCCATACTGGACGATGCAGATAAAGAACTTTCCCATTACTGCAGGAGTCCCACTGGACAGTGGGCTAAGGCTGTGAGAGCCAATTTTTCTCCAACCACACAATTTCTGTTCCTAGGATTCCAGCACAGGAGTAGAGCCTGGCTAAACAAGTTTCTGATTCATTGAAAGGTGCAGAAGTCATGCTCTCATGTTGTTCTTCCAAGATGATACCCTTCCTCAGATGCATACATTTCAGTTCCCTGTTTCAGGGAACACAGTACCATGAAAACGCCAGGCAAGTATCCAGAAGTTACGGGCTCCAGCCTTGGCAACTTTTAAACAAAAGAGCAGTGGGACCATTTTTGTCAAATGAAATCATAGCTCAACCCCCAAAACACCCGTGAAAGATCTAGAAGTGTGCAAGTGGCATGAGGTTCCTGTTAGAAACAGCTGCTCTGGCAGAGGAGGTGGACAAGGGCTTTCACCTACCTCCCTCCACTCACCAAGGACCCCTGTGGAATCCTAGGCCTTTGAGGCAACGGTCTGGAGACCAGCGGCCTAGGGAATCTTGTGAGGTTTCTCCTAGTTGCCAGGATGTAACAGATTTGTTGGGAATATCTGCAGGCTGGGGACTCCAATCCAGAACAAGAACTGTCAATATTTACTGAGCACCTGCCACCACTTATCTGGGCTATCTCAGTAGCATGCTAAAA